TGAAAATATTATAATCCCTGCAGAGAGGCTGGAATCATTTACCTTACTCCAAGAAAATGAACTAGTTAAAATAGTTTCTTCCGCAAAAACATCTACTTGTAGGTTAGATCCAATTCCTACAGGTTTACTCAAGGAAATTTTGCCAGAAATAACCAAGCCTTTTCTGTCAATAATAGACTCTTCTCTTAGCCTTGGGTACATCCCAAAATCTCTTAAACTAGCAGTAATTAGACCGCTGATTAAGAAAGCGAACCTTGATCCATGCGAACTATCAAATTATAGACCCATCTCAAATCTCCCCTTTATATCAAAGATCTTGGAAAAAGTTGTAGCAAAACAATTAAGCTCCTATTTGCATAGGAATCAAATACACGAAAAATTTCAATCTGGTTTTAGGCCACATCATAGTACAGAAACAGCACTAGTAAAAATTGTAAATGATCTGTTATTATTTTCTGACCAAGATCATGTGTCCTTGTTAGACCTCCTCGATCTTAGTGCGGCATTTGACACAATAGACCACCACCATCTTACTAGACAGACTAGAAAACCTTGTAGGGGTAACAGGAATAGCTCTTTCCTGGTTCAGGTCCTACCTCACTGATTGCTATCAGTTTGTTAATATAAACGGTGAATCATCTGTTTTCACAAAAGTAAAGTATGGTGTTCCACAAGGCTCTGTTTTAGGACCTGTATTATTCACATTATATATGCTACCATTAGGCACCATTATCAGTAAACATGGCATAAACTTCCACTGCTATGCCGATGACACTCAGTTATATTTAGCAAGCGACCCAGATGATAGAATTAAACTTAGCAAAATTGAAGACTGTATAAAAGACATAAAGGACTGGATGTCGAGTAACTTTCTCCTTCTAAACTCGGATAAAACAGAGGTTCTGCTTCTTGGTCCAAAAGCAGCTAGAAACAAACTGTCTAATTTAACACTTAAACTTAACAATTTCTCAGTTGCATCAAGCTCATATGTAAAAAACCTTGGTGTCATTATAGACCCTGATCTGTCCTTTGACGCACATATAACTAATATTACTAGAACAGCCTTCCTGCATCTCCGCAATATTGCTAAATTAAGAAATGCATTCTCTCTACAGGATGCAGAAAAGTTAGTTCATGCATTTATTACTTCAAGTCTAGACTACTGTAATGCCCTGCTGGCTGGATGTCCCAGCAAAAACCTTAACAAGCTTCAGTTGGTCCAGAACGCTGCAGCCAGAGTCCTTACAAGAACCAGAAAGTTCGACCATATCAGCCCAGTTTTATCAACCTTACACTGGTTGCCAGTTAAATTTCGGATTGATTATAAAATTCTCTTACTGACTTATAAAGCTCTAAACGGACTCGCCCCTCTATACCTGAGTGAACTTCTCTCCCACTATGAACCATCCCGCCTACTTAGATCACAAGGTGCTGGCTTACTATAACTACCCAGAATTAATAAAGTTACGTCAGGGGGGAGAGCTTTCTCATACAAAGCCCCCCGGCTTTGGAATAGTCTTCCTGTTAATGTTCGGGACTCAGACACAGCCTCAGTGTTTAAGTCTAAGCTAAAAACTTACTTGTATAGTCAAGCCTTTGGTAATTAGTTTTCCCTGTCAGTTCTATACCTGCCAGAGTCTCTGCTAACACTGTAATTTGTGATCGGTCACTCATTACAGAACTGACTCTCTATGTGTTTTCCTCTCTTGTGTGTTTTCCTTTCTTTTCTTCGCCGAGTTGAACAGCTGCCCATCCTGTGCGTCTGATGCTGCTGCCTCTGGACCAGCTTACCAACATTGAGCCTCCTGCTGTACAACGCCGTGCAAACCTCACCCTCACAAGCTGACCCCACTGATACTACTGCTGTTGCTACATGAACTAATCAAAATTATTCTCTTGAACCAATCATTTAAACTAATTCAAATTAATCAATCACCCATTGCAGAACTGACTCTGTGTGTTTTTCCTTTCTTTCCTTTGCCGAGTTGAACAGCTGACCATCCTGTGCGTCTGATGCTGCTGCCTCTTCTGCCTTGATCGGGTGCCACTGCTCGCCATGCAAACCTCACCCCCACAACCTGACCCCACTGATGCTGCTGCTGCTGCATGAACTAAACTATTCAAATTAATTGTTTGCTCCACCTTTTACCCTGTTTTTGTACTATAATACTTAATACTTTATACTAACAATGTTTACTATCCGGTGTGGACCAGAGGAGGATGGGGTCCCCTTCTGAGTCTTGGTTCCTCTCAAGGTTTCTTCCTGTTTCTCTTAGGGAGTTTTTCCTTGCCACTGTCGCCACTGGCTTGCTCATGGGGACTTGGACCCGGATTTCTTTTTGTAATGCTCACTTCCTTGTAAAGCTGCTTGGTGACAACACCTGTTGTAAAAAGCGCTATATAAATAAACTTTACTTACTACTTACATGTTCACAAATGGATGTAGATTTGCCAAAGAGAACTATTAGCAAATGTCGGCAGCCTTTGTCATCAGTCTACATATAGCATAACTGTCATGTTAAGCAAATTGGCAAAGATATATTAAACCGCATGATTTTCTACTGCATCTGACATTGTAGAATATCAGCATGTCTAATGATTGTTGTGAAAAAGTAATCTGTATATCAGCCTATAAGTCTAAACAACCTCAGATGCTTTTTTCACTGACATTAAATAATAAATCAGTCTCATGCGCTAAATCAGGAAAATAAAGGGTTCGGCATCTTAGCAGTAATACAACATGAAAAATATGAAAATATTTAAGAATAATATTTAAGGCAGTATTCTTTTTATAATTTTAATAATTTCAAAAACTTCATTTTTTCTTTAATGACGTATATTACGACAAGGTATAGTAATCAAATTTTTTTCCAAATTTATCCATAATTAAATGATAAAGAAAGTCATTCAGAGTGCTTTAATGTGAAATGCATTGTTCTAGCAGAAAAGCAACATTCATGTCCTCTTTATTGATGGTCGGTTCTTGCATCTTTATAAATTTAAGAAGCAACACAAACCCATAGCTTCAGCTTCACAGTGAAAGGAGTGACAGGGTCAGCATAACGGTGCTCCACGGTGGGCTTTAAAGGTACAATAAATGATATTTTTAACTCTGACTGCTTGTCATATGGCTGGTCACAGACTGGCCTAACATCAGAGCTGGAAGTAGCCAAAAACCTGGATGTGCAATCTACCCAGAAAAAGCCTATAATGGCTTTTAATGGTCAGCTTTAGCTTGTAGTGGGCAAACCTAACAGGGTTTCTTTTTATGGTTGGAGCAGAAAGGTTATGTACCCAAGCAAACTCTGGACAAACTGTACTGAACATAATGAGACTTAATCTCACGGCATTGTCCAATACTTTGTACCACTGATAGTATTAATTTCTCTTTTTACTCTTTGAAAGTAAAAAGTTAGCATTTATAGCACATATTTTTTGGCATCTTTCCAATGCAGTCATATAATTAAGCCTGTTATAAACAAAGCGGTGATTCTCTGTTCAGAGTTGTTGACAGGCAAGAACAGGACAACTTAGAAAAACACGTGTGCCACCTGCTGGTCAAAAAAGTGAAAATGAGTAATTGTAACTTGCCTTCAGTTGCTAATAAGAAGGTTCTCCTTTGCCTTAAAAAAAGGAAGAAGCATTAATATTTTCTCAGTGTTGTATGATATTAAATTGAATAATTCATTATCTGCCCAGAATGAGGAAAGATGGCAGTGAACGTAAAAAAAAATGGGCCATTGTGTCACATTTTCACAGTTTTCTTTCCGGTCCAGAGAGGGGCAGTGAGTCTGAGCAGCCAGATTATCATTGATTTTCAAGAAATTGATCACGAAACGACGAAGAGGATAAAGTCAAGCGGAAGAAAAAGCCAGACAGGTTAATAACCTACCTGTCATTTTTCCAAGTGAAGCAGGCCGTCTTATAACTAAAGCCACCACACTAAAAGTCCTTAAACTGGATAGTTGGAGAAACAGTTGTTTCACTTCGACCATCGTGTCTTATGGTTTCTCCTCAAGCTAAAGCAGGCTTGAATTATTATTCACCACAACTTTAACACACCATAGCGCTGTGCGTTGTCAGATATGCTGGATAGGGTGAGCATGTAGGCCACCGCCTCAGGAGGCCTGAGCTGTATGATTTCAATCCGATATCAAGCCTGCTAAAAAAAAAACCGCACAGACCAGCATGCATTCCACGCTAGTCTAAGCTAGTTTTTGCTTAGCCGCTCACCCAACGTGGTCATGCTGGTTGACCAGCATACCAGCATCCAAAACACAACATATGCTGGTTTTTCTAGCAGGGAATACCATACTAATACACTTATACTGAAACTTTTAAAAGTCCTCTTGCACACTTAAACCTCTGTAATGTTCCAGGTCAAACTGATCCTCTTCCCATTACATTTGAGCATTTTTTCATGAAACTTGATGACTTTCTTAACAGTGATGATATAAATGTATTAAAAGATTAAATTACCAATTTAATGCTCTTATAGAGACACTACACCATTTAGATACAAAGACACTGTTTAGACTTAGTTTTGCACTTGATCTACAAGGTTAATGTAGATAATAAGGATGTCTCCAACAATATTTTTGGGTAACACTGATATTGGCCTTATAGCTCCACTGTAAAACTAAAAAGGCAAACATGTCTGGTACCATCAACTACGTTTGATTTATTCATCATTTTTTGGTGAACCATTCTTTTAGGAGAAGTGATCAAGCTGAACTTTCCAGGTCCAAGACTGCCTCTTGGTGATGAGTTGCTAGGTCATGGCACCCACCAAGCAGACAAGGTGAAGCTATGGAATAAGAATTGTTCAATTTTTTTTTTAGAACAGTTAACATACTACTTGTATAAGGAAAGCACAAGACACATACAGTCAGCTCACAACACAATATTCCAGATCCATCCACACAAATTACAGAAGTTTGATCAGGATCCTCATTATTAGGTTATGTTTTTTCAAAGAAAATTTTTCACTGAAACAGAACTGCTTTTTTCTTTTTATTTTCCCTTTATAATTGTCAAAACATATATTTAAGACACTTAGAAAACCGAGTTTTTGCTGCACTTTTTTGTACAAAGAGGAAAAACACTGAGTGACAAATCACAGGGATTCACTTATCGAACGTCCTGCTCTGCTTGTTTTGAAAAATACTATAATTCAGCTACTTGTAAACTTTAAAGTGACCTGACAACAGACAGTATACACACAATTAATAATGCCATATACTGACATAAGAAGTCAACATATTCATATTGGAATGCAATGTGAAAAATAACATTAAAAAGAGCTTCTAAAAGGCCATTAAGGGTGTTCCATGTCTATAACTTACTTTTTTTTTAACAGTAGAAAACAGAAAAAATTTGTTTCCAACCACATTTCGATCTCTCAATTCATGTCTGTAATAAACCTGAGCTGTAAATAGCACAGGCAGCACACACATGAGCCCTACATCAACCAGCCTAAGTCAACCAGTGTGTTATAAATGCCAGCACAGCAATGAAACATGTTCTTGAACAGCCTAGTGACCAAAACTTACCAATCACAATGACCCATTAATGAACATCCAACAAATAAAAATAAGTACTTCTGATAATGTTAGCTTTCCAATAAAATTCTTCAGAGCAGCCACGGTCCTTTGAATGTACAATAAAAAGTAGAAAATGGAATGTTTCTTTGGTCAGTGGGCTGCAGTTGGCACCACAATAAATCAACGGGCAAAAATGGGTGACAGGTACAAGGAAGGGAGGGGCAATATTCTAAGATTAGCTATTAAACTGTTTCCGAAATATTCCAGACCTTTCATGAGTATATTAATAATAGACATGAACAACAGGTTTAGGCTACACTTTGATGTTTGCTAATAAATATGACAAAAACAAAATGCTTAAAAGTGCCCCCAGAAATAAACTTGACAGAGAAGACACACTGAAATCAGACAGAAGTGAGTACAGTGCCTGGGCTGCAGAAGTAGAGAGTGGGTCATATTGTTGGTTCCTGGGGTCCTTCACTAGAGGCCATGTCTCAAACTTCTCATCACTCCCTATATAGTGTACTTGCTTTAGGTGAGAAACCTACTTCTCAGCACACACTATAGAGTGAGCAAGAGAGCCATTTGACATCTGCCCAGTCTCACCACTCCTTCTTCTTTTCATCCATGGAGACTCCACCAGGGCCCAATGCTACTACAAGCAGAAGGCCTCCAATCACAGACGTGGTCTGGAAGAAGTCGTATTTGAGGAAGTCGTGCATGGGCTTGTAGGTTGGAATGGTCCAAAAGGCATTGAAAGAGACGTTAATTATAAAAAGCCAGACGACTAGAGTGAGAGCAGCCAGTTTGGTCTTGAAGCCAATGGCCACCAGGATGATCAAAGCGGTGCCCACCAAATTCTGGAGAATCTGCAAGACACAAACGCAGGTTAAAACAGAACCACACACTTAAGAATAATAAATGCAAAGTATAGGGTGGGGATCACATTGGCTAAAAGGGTCCTCTGTACAAGGAGCAATTACGTGAATTAGTGTGACCTCTAGTGGTAGAATGTAAACATTGCCCTGAAAGATCCTTTTTTAGAAACTGAACAGGTATGTATTATTATTCAGGTTTATTATTATAAACATGAAAGTTTCAAAATGATAAACTTTCTACCATAAAGAGTTGGCCCAAACAGTTGCTAATGAGTATTCAAAGCCTGTAAGGTGCTGTTTCGGCCAACTCTTTATAGTGCTGTGAAAAAGTATTTGCCCCTTTCTCAATTTCTTCTATTTTTACATATTTGTCACACTTCAATGTTTCAGATAATCAAACTACTTTTAATATTAGACAAAGATAACTCAGGTAAACATAAAATGCTGTTTTTAAATGATTATTTCATTTATTTAAGGAAAAATGCTGTTCGGCCCTACCTGGCCCTGTAGGAAAAAGTAGTTGCCCCCTTAGCTACTAAGTCAACCAGACTGAACTGACTACTGGGTTCAATTTCATTAGCCACACCCAGCCATGATTACTGCTAGACTTGCTAAATCTAAACATCACTTAAATACAACCTGTTTGGCAATGTAAAGCAGACTAGAAGGCCTAAAAAAGCAGCATATGATTCCACATTCTAAGGAGATTCAAATATAGATGTGAAAAAGTCGCTGAAATCTAGGGTTACAAAGCCATTGCTCATTCTCTGGGACTCCAGTGAACCAAAGTGAAAGCCATTATCCAGTGGAGAAAATTCGAAACAGTGGTGAACCTTCCCAGGAGTGGCTAGCCTACAATATTATTATAATATTCTATGGACTGATATGTCAAAGGTGGAACTTTTTGGAAGACATGGGTCCTGTTACATCTGGCATAAAACTAACACCGCATTTCACCATGAGAACATTATACCAAAACCACATGGTGGTGGTAGTGTGATGGTCTGGGGCTGCTTTGCTTCTGCAGGACCTGGACGACATGCCATAATTGATGGAACCATGAACTCTGCTCTCTATCAGAAAATCCTGAAGGAGAATGTCCACTCATAAGTTTGTGACCTAAAGCTCCAGTGCAGTTGAGTTATGCAGCAGGACAGTGATCTGAAGCACACAAGCAAGTCTACCTCTGAACGGCTCAAAAGAAACAAAATTAAGGTTTTGGAGTGGCCGAGTCAAAGTGCTGACTTGCATCCCATTGAGATGCTGTGGCAAGACCATAAATGGGCAGTTCATGCTTGAAAACCCTCTAGTGTAGCCAAATTAAAACAATTGTGCAAAAAAGAGTGGGTAAAAGACAGCGATGTAAAAGACTCATCGCAAGTTAGCACAAAAACATCTGACTGCAGTTGACACTGCCATTCCATTAAATTGAATGCTTTTTTAAAATCTACATTTTGTGTTTACTTGCATCGTCTTAACCATTTATTAAATTTAGTTGAACAATATGAAACATTTAAATGCGACATAATAGCAATTATAGAAGAAATTGGGTGAGGGGTAAATGCTTTTTCGCAGCACTGTATGCTAAACTCAGCAAAATACAGTAATTGTGCATTAAATGTGCAGAAGTGTGTTCTCTGTAGAGGATGTTAATGATTCATCAAAGCTGTCATATGACCATGGAATACAAGCCTCTCATTTTTCACTGAGGAATTTTCTTATTGTCTGCTTAATTTTTAAATAAGAATTAAAAAAACTCAAAAAGTGCTGTCCAACATAAACACAAAAAGTTTCAGTGCATTTGCGAAGTCCACACCCCTGTGTTTTAGAGCAGGAAGAGAGGCTACATCCCTGTCCCTCAAGGCCACATGGTGAGCAGTTAGATCCCATTGTTCTGAAGTAAATGTTAATTTATAAATTCAAAGTACTTAGGCCAACCCTACTACCATATCTATCAAAGCCACTGAAAGAGCAGAATGTCTGTATGAGCACCAGTTGCAGTATGCTCACAGCACCAAAATAACACTAGCAGTATCTGGTAGTGTCTGCCTCATGGGGTTGTGATGAAAGCCATGTTATGTATGTGTATATATGTGGGCTCACAGAAAGGAAGTTGGCATCGAAGTGGAGCAGAGTCATGAACATGAGCACCAGCAGCACACGACCTCCCAGTTGCATGTACTGCTTAGGGGAACTCTCTCGTACTGTAGGCACCCCGGCAAACATGCTCCTGCCCTCTGAACGCGACTCAGCCAGCAGTAAAAGCAGACCACCACCCAGTGCCAGGTTTCTTGTGGACAGAGAGAGAGAGAGAGAGAGAGAGAGAGATGGGAATGGGAGGAGTTAATGGGCAATTACATTAATTGTAATGAGTAAAGTCAAGCATAAATTATAATGTAATTTTCTTGAACTTTTTAAGTTATATACTTATATACATATATAAACAAACATGCTTGCTTTAAACTCACCTCATCAAAAACTTTGGGTCCCACAAAATGCTGTAAGCGATGGTCTGAAACAGAAAATGAACATAACGAATGCAGAGGTTAAAAGCCTTTTGTGGCGTTTAGTCAGCCCTATCTAAACATCACTGCACATGCAATGATGCAGACTTAACAGCCGCAGGAGCAAAAAAAAACAAAAAAGTTTAACCAATCTTAGTCATGCTTGTGGAATGTGTTATTGGGAGGTAAAATGAGGTGAAGCTGGCTTGTTGCTGACCTCTAGTGGCCCTTGCTAATGCTTGGCAGTGTCAAAAGCTGCCCTTCTTTATTAATCTGAGATCAGCGTTGTAGTTTATCTTATGGAGGTTATGATCAGGATTCTGAGTAATAACAGATGGTTTTCATAAGCATGACATTAAAAGGCCGCCTGAGTCACTATTCATATTTTCATTTTTCAACATTTTAAAGTGGCTGGCTATAGGCAATGCCATTCAAGAACTGAGCTAATGTTAGATAACCAATATCATCGCAATTCACAAACACTTTCCCTTTTGCAATTTTCCAAAATAAGGGAACAGACGAATCTAGAGGGTCCAGTTAAATTTTAACAACATACCTGCAGGCCAATGATTCCAAACAATCCAAAGCAGGCATACTGTACAAAATTCCTGCTGAGTATAAGTATGCAACCACCTGTAAATGAAATTAAATACAACACTCAACATTCATTCATACAAAGAGGCTGACCTGAGTCAGACATAATCAGAGGTCCAAGCAGGTCAACGGTCCAGAAAATTTCTATGAAGTTTACTAAAATTTCTCCAAAATGGCACAAGACAGGGCCGAGTGTTCGCTGACAAGTTATAAGCAATAACTGCCCAAGTTGGAAAGAAAATTGGTAAAGAACTGGACAGACCTCATTTACTTTTTTTTTTCAAACAGATTGCCAAATATAATATTAAGTAATACTTATTGTATTGTTTCTCCTGCAACGTATTGTTTGAAAAAAAACTAAGCATTTTCCATACAGGTAAAGTGACTCCTCAAGTTAAATGTAATACTTCTAAAGGAATTCAAAGTAACACCATATCGCTGTGCTTCTGTGTGAGCTAACTCAATAGAAGGTCTAATGTAAAAGACACTACATCTGTCTGTATTCTAAAATCTCAAAATAATTCAATGTTTATTGAGGCCTTTAATTTAAAAATTGTAATTTTAGACAAATTAAGACTTTTAAGGACCAGCAGACATGCTGTATTGATTGCTCAGTCACATAGTGGCAACAGTGGCTCTTGTAAAAAGGTACAATAGCTAGCCTCACCCAGCTGCCCCAGTAAGTTTATTAAGACGAAGAGTGAGGCGAGGAAGAAGCCGCATCCCCACGAGCTCTCGATGTACTCTTTCTGCTCGCTCCACTGGAACCACATTCTGATGCCATCTTCCAGGAAGGTGCTGATCAGACACAGCCGTGCTACATGAGGCAGGTACTGCTTCGTCACTCGCAGGAACTGCAGGAGATAACACAGAGGAAGAGCAGATTCAAATCTCTGTACTGTGACTGAGAATGAAGGAGGAAGGAGGAAGTGTTCTTAACAAACTGACTATGCTTATAACAGGTTATTAGCTTAGGTTCAGTACATAGATGTTCATAATAACACATTGCTTATAACAAATTCCAAACATAAATCATACTATTTCATGGAATAACACTCTCTGCTATGAGTGCAGCTTTTTTTGCTCTTTCGCAGACATGCAACAGAGTCTGAACTGCAAATAAACTTACAGAGACGTGTCTACACTTGTGGGCAGTAATTAGCTGAGGGGGAGCAGAAGGGGAAGGCTAAGTGTGATGACTTAGCAGTACTGATAAACATCTCTATACACTGCAATTATATATAAATCAAGCTTAGAGCAACACTGCCAAGCAAGAACAATCCATTTTCAGACACATTCCTCAGGTATGGGTCATATACAGCAAGGACAGTCTATTTTTGGCCTCTAGCCCAGATTTGCGAAATGAACAGTATCTTCCACTGATGAACTCATTGAACTGACAAGGCAGTTAGAATTAGGTGGCGAAATTAAATGAATGTTGCCAGGAAGCTTTCAACAGACTTAAATGAGAGAGATAAAATGTAATTACAAGCACAAAACCTGATTTCTAGTTGTGACAAATGACTTGTAAACACAGCCCAGTATTCTTATTTGAGCAGCTGAGCTTTACAGTTTTGTTCACTGTACCAAACACTGTCACCTTCAGTAGACTTCAATCAGCTTCCCTTATAAGCACACAGTGAATTAGAGTCATGCAAGGCAGGAAAAGAACAATAAACATCTGTGGTTTGGTGACAATGAAGCTACATGACACCAGCTTCACATATCTAGGCTAGACTATTCTGTAAAGAGGGCCAGCCAGGATGCAACACATGTCAAGAAAGCAGGAAATCAGGTCAGGATCTTTCTGCAAATCAAATCTGAAAATTAAAGTCATGCCATAGAAGCAAAATAAACACTAAATTAAAAGCAGTGGGCAAAATAATGAAAAAAAAAACATTAGAGCTATTTTTGTGCAATAACTACTCATTTACACTCTTCACACGACTATTTGCTGCTGCGAGAGTGCACAGCTTTTCGTGACTCATGTGAAGAAAATACTATAATTTGCTGTAAGAAGTCTTCATTATGAAACTGTGGTCTGCACCTCGCTGTGAAAGCGCACTCGAACGACTGCGTAACTGGGCCCTAGGTGGCCCCGCCCCCGAGACGATCCACGTCAGCGCTTAGAAGCCAAGGCAGCCAATCAGCGATCAACAAGTAACAGAGTAGCCCATATGAATGGGAAGAGACCTCTGGGGCAGTGTGCGACTCGGTTAACATACTACTAGTGGTCAGCAATATATGGGGGGCTATTTGCTTAGTTGCCTGGCAGCCAATGAAAATGAGTGCTGTGCGACATCTGCTACCTGGCAATGGAGAAGCACTATTTCTGTTTACTGAAGGTTGTGAAACATTCACATTCTGTACTGATGTAAAATGTTATCTTGTGGACGTCTGATATGAATCATAACTGAGCAGATGTTATTGGTGGTTGGATTAAAAACATAACTTCATAAAGAGTCTGAAAGACCTTTAAAGAATACAGAGTGCACTGGCCTTGTTCTTCAGCAACACCAAGGCTGATGATATGCCCATATTTCATCAGTTCATCAACCTTGTAGCTACAGCAAGATTCATTTGACTGATATGTGATGATAACGATCAAAATTAACTGTTCGAATGCAATATAACTAAATTCATTGCCACTCATCATCAGTGTGATTACAGCTACTTGTTTCTCTTATCAGTGATACTAACAAAGCAGATCTGATTCAGTAGTGTTTGAATGAATGGGTGGATCCAGATGGTTCAGGGATATAGATTGGATTTACTGCGATCCCAAATAGAGGTAAGAACTCAGCAAACTAACCACGCCAAAGGTCAACAGGTCTTACCTGGACTAAAGAAAGACAGACATCGACTAAGCTAATAATGAGCAATAACAAACTGACCAGTTAGCTAAGACTAGCTAAAGTCTCTGCCTGTGTTGTGATCACAACTTCTCCAAAACACTAACTATATCGCTAAGATTGTGCTAACTAGCAGTCAAAAGTGATATTAAGATTATCTACGGTAACGTTTTTAAACTTATTTTAGCCCATCTCTGTAACGTAAACGAATCTTCCAGGTCCACCTTAAATGGTGCAGCAGTTACATTCGGAATGTACGTAGCATTTAAGTAACGCCACATCATTTAAGGTGGAACGGAAAAATTCGAACGAGAAGCTGGCAAAGAAGAAACTGACTTCAGATGTCTCATTACATGCTAAGGAAGATATGAGGAGGAAACAGTTCGCGCCAGAGTGAACTTTTACTGCAACATTAGTCTCAGAAACAGATGAACAGACCATACTTTTTCTCCTAAGTCACCGTTACAGTGTAAAAGCTCCACTGCTGTAACTACAGAGCTGCACATTCAACAATTCCCTCATAGTTTTAACGTTACTTCTCCACAGCAGGTCCTCCGGAGCATAGCGGCTAAACTAAACTCAGCAGGCACAAATGCAAACGGTTAGTCGTGTCAACTCGACTACTTAAGCTGATACACAGGAGTGACCACGCAAATGAAGGACATAAACTGGAGGTGATATAAGGATGACTGCTCTCACAGGCTGTGTGTCAGTGTCAGTGATTTTCTCGGCCTCACCTGATCCGCCACGTCCTCCGCGGCGCTCATCAAACTGTTCTGAACCATCGCACGTAGATGTGAATGCCGACCTCTCTGAGGCAGATTTGTCTCCCAAAGCGTGTAATGTAATGTTGCTCGCTGTCCGTACGATAACGCTCTCAGGCGGGTCACAGGTTTTCTATAAGCGGTGTCCAGTCGACGTCTGTGTGCCTGAAAACCATCGCCGCCCCATAATGCTTAGCACTGAGGTTGCTGCCCCCCCTGTAGGCCACGAGTGTAACTGCATGCCACGTGTACTGATGCAGCAGGGAAAAGAGATTATATGCTATTGCTCACTAGTCTGGGATTTAATACCACTGCTGTTTTTATTAGTGATCACTTGTATATAAAAAATCTGGTTGCAGTTAACACTGCAATATTTTAAGGCAAAGCTGAACACTGTCTAGTTCCATTTGCTCAGTTACTTACTTATTGAAGTGTAATTAATCAGTTATACACCAGTCATAACACTAAAATCACCTCCTTGTGTCTACACTCATTGTGCATTTTATCAGCTGCACGTACCATATAGGTGCACTTTGTAGTTCTACAACTACAGACTGTAGTCCATCTGTTTATCTGCGTACTTTGCTAGCCCCCTTTCACCCTGTTTTTCAGGGATCAGGACCACCACAGAGTAGGTATTATTTGGGTGGTCATTCTCAGCACTGCAGAGACACTGATGTGGAGGTATGTTGCGCTGGTATGAGTGGATCAGACACAGCAGTGCTGCTAGACTTTTTAAACAGTGTCCACTCTAATAGACACACCTCACTTGCTGGTCAACCTTGTAGATGTAAAATCAGAGAAAGTAGCTCATCTGTTGCTGCACAGTTTGTGTTGGTCATCCTCTAGTCCTTCATCAGTGGTCACAGGACGCTGCCCACAGGACACAGTTGGCTGGATGTTTTTGGTTGGTGGACGATTCTCAGTTCAGCAGTGACACTGAGGTGTTTAAAAACTCCAGCAGCACTGCTGTGTCTGATCCACAGACTAACACACTACCACCACATCAGAGTCACTGCAGTGCTAAGAATGATCTAGCACCCAAATAATACCTGCTCTGTGGTGGTCCTGACCATTGAATAACAGGGAGAAAGGGGGCTAACAAAGTATGTAGAGAACCAGAAGGACTATAGTCTGTAATTGTAGAACTACAAAGTGCAACTATATGGTAAATGGAGCTGATAAAATAAGGAGTGTAGAAGCAAGGAAGTGGTTTTAATGTTATGACTGATTGGTGTACATTCATGGTATTTTGTCTGAGTATTAAGTAATACTGTTTGTAAATGTATAAAGTGTCATAAAAGCATAATAATATCTTCACATATACTAACATATATTCGAGATGGAGTGAGTCTGCTTTCAGTTCCATTTTACTAATTCATGCTTTGTTCCTAATTCCTGTTTTTGGGTTTAATTTTGTTCTGTTCTGTTGGGGATAGCACCTGGTCTGCTTTGACATTGTTCCCCACCCACAGGCTATCTCAGGCACCCTCATGAAGCATATTGAGGTCACCCAAGTACATTAAATTTCATTTAAACAATGTTCAATTTCGATTTTGTCCAATTTGAAGAAATTTCAAAGAGAAAACATTTCATATGTTTATACAAACAAACAATGACACAATATTACTGACGCAAAGTATCACCCTTTCCCATGGTTATTTCCATGACTTAAATCTTCACTTTAGCCACGTCCATGAGGTTCTTCATACCTAAAATAGTGTAGCATTGGTGCTTTGTTCTGAAGAATTCATTGGCGAAATGCAAACCACTAGTAAGATTCAAGAACATAAAGGCCTGGTTATAGCTCACTAAAACATACATAAAAGCCTGTAACAGAGTGATGGAATGAGGAGAGAGAACAAAGAAACTGCTTTATTTCTCAACGGCTCACACCCAAACTGAAAACTCAATCAAATCTTGCAGCAGGACAATTTTCCTAATCATTAGTACTAAAGCAACAATGGAATGTTCCACGACTAAAAAGTGCAATGTTTCTGACTGGCAAAGTCCTTGTCATGACCTGAACCCCATGACAATTTAACACTGTCTTTGTCCGTTTATTACACCCCCCTAAAATGGGTAAATATGTATTATAATGGCTGTGATTCCTATTTGCCAAGTAAAAAGCCAAAACAACAAAAATATCTCTTTCTAATAACTTAGTCTGCACCGCACTTGACCATATGGTAGTCAATTTCACAGCTCCAGAAATAACCTTTTACATTCATAATGCAGCAGCTTTTGCAGAGTATTTTAAATATGTATATTTTAAAGAAATTATAACCTTAATGCAACTGCCTTTACACATTTATTAAAAACTATTTTACGGTGTTAAAAAAAATAATGGTTAAAACCTAAAGACTAATGTCCAAAAAATAGGTAAGTGAAAAAAGTAGAGTCTAAGTACAGATTTTTATGTTCAACAACAGAATTACAGCAGTAACATACAGTTTAACAACATAACACACAAACTCTCAGGTTTTAGATGCGCTGTAATGTTCTAATTCTTCATTTTTATGGTTGAGCCAGAATCAGAGGTCGCCTTACAACTGTGATGCTTCCTAACTACAGCTGGGTTTTGTGTGCCTGAGGACTTAGGACATGGGTTTGAGACTCAGTGTATTACTGTACACACAGCTTCTGTTTGTGGTCAGTGGTTTGTGGGCTTCGAGTAGTATCTGACTGGCTTTTGGACTTCTCTCCTTTGTCTTCCATCTCCGCAGCACAGTCTCTGCTGTTCTCTGGGCTCTCTCCTAAGGAGCTGGCTAAGCTTTCCTCATCTTCCTGAGGCAGGTTCAGCATGGCCTTATACTTCTGCATAGGATACAAAATATTCACATTAGCTTTCTGAAATATTTTAAAGACTGAACCTTCTTAACAAGCAGAGCCACTGTTTCTGCATATCTGAATCACATATAAAAGTTTTTGTCACCTGTAAGTTCTGGTAGTGCATGAGAGACTTGCAGTGTGCCTCCCGAGCTTTGGACTCAAAGTGGTAGAACTTGTGGCAGAGCTTACAAAGGAAGCCTGCTACTGGCACTACAAAACTAGTGCCTACAAAAGAGCACAGAAACGTCCATTAGATTTGTGAATTAAGCATCAGAGTTTAATAAAGACTAGGTTGGGCACTTAAGGTAGGGATTGCTGGATTTCAAGCTCACCGTACTGGGTGTCTGGATCATAGTCATTGCAATCATTAACCTCCTCTGGAAGGACCTGCTAAGGAAAACAAAAGAGAAAGTCAAGAACTTCAGTAGTCTTATGGGGTCAGATGTGATCTTATATCATGAATGTCTAGGCAATCATGAGCGATTTTAGGCAAAATGTCTGTGTGAATGTAGAGTTTAGGATGGGAACATACAGAGTGTAAAATTTCTAAACCAATCCAATGCCTTATTAAGGTGTTGCTTAAAGTAGGGGCGATGGTGCACTTGTCAGCACTGCCTGACGGACAAGTCTGTTAGCCCATGCATGTCACCTGTGCAGGCAACACAATCTATGTGGCGAAAATAAACATTACCTCTTACAAGGGAAAAAAGAGTTCCATTAAACCAGATTATAATTCACCTTTAGAAGACATAACTAGTCTGGTGAGAAAAGTTAGGTTACCTTTGGCTGTGTGTGGCCTCTGCTGTTTACACTTCACGCTCTAACAAAACTAAATCGAGCTGTGCTGCTGAAACTTTGTCCTGAGCACATTTTGAAGAATTAATATTAGCTAATGATAGTGCTTTGCTAGCTATCTTAATTACTGCTTTTGTTACTGATTACTGCAGACGTTAAAAGAGCATGGATTAAGGGGAACTGGGGGTGGGTTTTAGAGGGTGTGTGCCTTTGTTTTTGATGGATTTCGCTGCAACCCAGCACCAAAAAGTTTAACAAGTTGTTGTTTTGAGATCACATCTACTTCATGAGACAGTTAAAGAATTGAAAGCATGAAATCATAGTACTAGAGGACATCGACCTGTTGAGTCACTGTGTCTTCCTCCTCATCTTCACTTCCTTCTTCTTCATAGTCATCTTCACCTTCAAAGCAGCCAATGGCATCCACTGTTATGAGTTCTTCCATGACTTCAGGTCCTCCCTCTTCTCTTAGCTACAGCAAGACAACAAAATAATTTCATATGCATTCTAATAAAATTGCTTGCTTATATGAAAAGCTTGACAAAGTGCTACAAGAAAACTGGGACCAGAAAAGTCTCTCTAGCACACATACACACCTCCTCAACCCGCTGTTTGTGCTCTGGGGATTTCATATGCTCCACAAATTTGCGTGGAGTTCTGAAGTGGCGTTCACAAACTGTGCAAAATGGCCGTGAGGAGACCTTCGCCATCTGTGACAAAAATGAAAAAATTTGCCAACATAGTAAACATCTCACAGCTGTGTGTAATTTCATATGAATTAACAGAAGCATCAACTCATATGTTTTGCCTGTTCGTTCATACCTTGTGCTTCTTTGTTCTTCTGTGTTCAATAAGATCCCCAGTAAAGTGGCACTGGCAGATGGCACACCAGCGCTGCAGCACCTGCTTTTTATCTCTATAACACACAGCATTACTGCTCAACTTTACATTTTAAAAATCGGTAAAAACTTTGACTGAGCAGTAAATGGTCAAAAATAATAAGGCTTTAACATCTTGTAGAAAAATCACACACATTTTCTCTAATAAGCATGTAAAAGAGCTAAACGGCTTACAATCATAGACAACTTCAAAGCATAAAATCATTCAAAAGGTGAAAAATATCGTAAGACTGAAATACAATACAGATTACAAGAGCATGCTTTTAACATTATTTCTGTCCTCAAGTGTTTCAAAAGAAGGGATGAAAGAACGAATTAAGAATAAAGTAGGGAAAATGCAGGTTAAAGTTGTAAAAAGTGTGAGGCAGGCTGTGAGAATGCATGAAATTTGAACCTGTCGCAAGCCTGATCATATTTGATAAATGATGTCTGATTCTGACCAAACCCTACATGAGCATTGGGGACATGAAACATTTCATATTTCTTAATATCAGTACAGATCGTACCTAAGTGTGCCCTGTAGGGACTGCTGCATTTGGGGTAGCAGTGTGGCCAGACAAGTGTTACTCAGATGCTGAATCTCCATCATCCTCATCTGGTGATCCAGACTGATCATGTGAATCTGAAAGTCCTAGACGAAACGAAGACTTCACTGTGTAAGACTTGCATACAATGCAATTATATGTATTATAAGTAATGCAGAGGGCGTCTACGAAAAATGAAAACTTGTTTCATTCAACTCAACATCAAACTTAGCCGAACCAAAATAAGACGAGAGAAAAAGTCATTACACAAATATAGATTCTTTTCTTACCAGCTAAAGATTTTTACCTGTTGATCAGGACAAGTGACATTGCAGATTTTGCAGCAGAATTTGCCTGCAGACTCGCTCTTCTCTTTGTCCGTGCTCTGACCTGCAGCTGCTGGACTCTCCTCCAGTCCAGTGCTGAAGGCTCGGCTGTCACTGCTGCGTTGAATGGTCACTTTCAGAGATGTTCCTACACCCTGAACCTGCATGCCAAGATATTACACAGCTCACTGTGTATAGTGTTATTCATATCACATACTGGTTACTGTGCTAGTCAACGTTTATTGTTAGTAAAAGGAAAGAATGCTGTGAAAATGAGGCTTAATAAAGCATACATAAGTGGTGCAAGCAGATGAAAATAAAAATTTCAACTTAGCCACAAGTCAGTTTATGAAATTTCTGCCTTGCTAGGTCTGCCCCGGCCAACTGTAAGTGGTATTATTATGAATAATAAAAAAAAGTCGGTGAAAGTCGGTGTATATGTGTACAAACTCTACAGATCAACTATACCTCTGCTGTCCTGCCCTGCTCCAGATCTTCCTCTGCTTCTGCAGAATGGATTTCCTCTTCTGTGTAAATGATATTGAAAAAGCACACAGACAAAGTCAATTTCACAAAGCTTTATTTTCTTTTCTAAAAGTTTACCCCTATTTTACCACTATTAACATTATACATAAAAACTCAAAAGACACATGTATGTCTACTGGTCTTTCTGAATAGTAAATAAAACGGCTATATTTGCATGGCACACATCGCAACTTTGGGATCTTTAAGTGATGTGTAGCATTCACCAGGTGTAAAGCTGATTCAACATTATCTCCCAAAGACACCATAAGGGACCAACTGATAGTCCAGGTTTGGACAGATGGCTAACATACCTTCTTGTTCTAGAAGCACAGATGAATCTGTGTCTGCAGTCCTGCACTCTGCATCTCCACTTTCAGACTCTTCATCAGCTCTGAAGGGAATTCAGAATATGGGAGTTGCAACATTTTATTGGTTAATCTGTCTTGCATTAAAATGAGAGGCAATAAGATTACCTCTGATTCTTCTGCTTTTTAGCAAGAGGTTCTGTCTGGTCATTCGATGAGGCCTGACCATCTTTAATGGACACTTCCAGTTTTTTTTCTATATCAAAATCAATGATTACATAGTTTGCTACAAAATATGTCATCATTCTCAAATCAATGATTACATAGTTTGCTACAAAAATAGATAGACAGATAGATAGATAGACAGATAAATAGATAGATAGATAGATAGATAGATAGACAGATAGATAGATAGATAGATAGATAGATAGACAGATAGATAGATAGATAGATAGATAGATAGACAGATAGATAGATAGATAGATAGATAGATAAACAATTGAATTAATAAACAAACCAGTCAAAAATGTTAGAATAAAAGACGTTACCTTCATGCAGACATATTAACTCACCCACTTGTGCAGGTATTATATCTGCTTTGCTTTTGGTCATTTGTCCATTACTTTTCCCTGCTGGTTTTTGTCCATTCTCCCTCATCCTCTGAGGAGTGAGCACAGCGCCCTTTTGAAAGATGAAAATTCAGAGAACGCATCCATTATCAATCCTTAAGTTTTTAACATAATACCTGTCCTTAAAGGAATGGTTCACCATTCATATATTACACAATACTACATAAATAGGCACTAATGATCATTAGCAATTCGACATAGCTACTGATATTAGACAGACTGGTACTGCCATTTGTTATTTAACATTCTAGTCTAAAGTCTTTAGGGGTGTCTAAAGCCAGTTCAGTGAAGGTGAGAGAAAGTCACCTTATTCTTATAAGGTGGACAGTACAAATTAAGCTGGCGTCCAGGCACAAAACCCATGTGTGCATTCCTCAATGGTGCACCAACAGGCGCTGGCCCAAGAAGTGACTGTCTAACTCCTGTAGGTAAAAATGGTGGTGGAAGCCGCTTCCCAGGACCCCCTGAGATTCCTTTAAAGATAATAATAATAAGTTTAATTTACGCTACAATTCAGAAGTTTGGGATCACTATTTATTAATAAAAACCAATGCTGCTGAAGATAAATTTATAAAATGGTGCAGTTATGATATTTGGACTTATCTGTATGCAGCTTTAAAAAATTACATATGTCTAGAAAGATGAACAGAGCTGTAGACAATTCCATCGCAATTGAGAAAGCTGTTTGAAAACATCAAGTTTTAAGTTAAATTAATTAAGTTCTTGGTGTTTCCAAAAATATGAACTATTAAGAAAACATCTTAAAATATCACCTAGTGTCTAGCTTACAGTTTTTTTTCCCCATATACATTTTATACATTATTTATAAAATAACAACAATTACTAATTATTCAAATTTTAAACAAATTAACATAGAGCACTCTCAAAGCACTCTCAAGCTTACAGTCTATACACAGAAAATATCAAAATTAAACATAGCAAAATTTAACAAAGAGAAGGTTAAAGAGAGTATAAACAAAGTAAACAGTAACAAACAACATAACAAAGCAACAGAAGAAAACAGTATGTGTACATTAATATTAGAGCAACATACACAAGTCACATCATCCGAGATCAAACAAAGTACTGAATAGGGCTTTGAAGCGAGGCTCTAAATAAATTGGTAAACCAGTTCAGCAGATCCAAAGCATTTAAAGTCAAAATCAACACACAGAGAAGTCCACTTCTTTTACCTGGCATCTGGTGCATGACCACCGGCTGCTGCATCATAGGTTTGGGTCCAAGAAGACTCTGGGTGCTGGTAGAGCCTGGTCTAACTACAGAGAGGGGTGGATGGCCCACCACAGGTCTGTTTGGCATCCTGTGAGTGAGTATTGAAAGGTCAGACAGCCTGTAGTTTGTAAATGCAACTTCCAACATCCTATTAACTGATGTACATTTATGCAAAAAGTATTAAAGGGCCCATTTCTAAATTTTTTGTGCGTTTTAAATTTTTCTCCCAGGGTACACTTTATGTTTTTGTGGTTTTAAGAACCAAAAGCATCATGATTCATTATTACATGACCATTTTCCAACCTCTCTTTATCTCTTAGAACAGTGTTCCCAAACCTTGGTCTTGGAGGCCCTCTGCCCTGCAACTTTTAGTGCTTTCTCAGCTTTAACACACCCACATCAACTCAGTAAGGGGTTGTTAATGAGCTGATTTGTTGAATTAGGTATGTTGGAAGCAGGGTAAAATGTGCAAAGCAGGGGGCCTCCAGGAACATGGTTGAGAACCACTGCCTTGATTTTAACCGGCTGTTTTTGTTACCATGCTTTTTAGACTGATGTATGTCAGTGATCATAATTCAGAGGGGTGTCCACATACTTTTGGCCATATAATGCATATTCATCTATTCAGCCTACTGCAGTTTAGCCCTACCCCTTATGCTGAAGTTATCAGGCAGGGGAACTTCAGCACAGTTTGCTGATTTCTCTGCTCTGACATAACATCTAAACCTGGCAATCAACTGCTGAGTTGAATCAGGTGTATTTAAGCAGGAAAATCACCAAACTGTGCAGAAATTCAGCCTTCCATGACTACAGTTCCCCACCCCTGTCATAAGGAGTGTTTTAGTTTGGACTGCCTCATTTTTGAATGAGGAACAACACAGAGCAGCGAGTCAGAACAGACAGCATTAACATATTTCTGTCCTTGGCTCATAAAACCACATAAACATCATATGTGGATATTACAGTACAAGACAAATGTAGGATATGGGCCCTTTAACATAGTATGTGATGTATTTTCTACCTATAGACAGACACTGGGCCCTTACCTTGCCCCTGGATGCATATGATGATCAGGATGGAGACGGGGTGGCTGGTTAGGCAGGGCCAACAGAGGAGCCATCGGTGAACGTGTGGATGGCACTCGCGACAGTATTGGTGCTGATGGTGCGCGGGGAAACTGCTGCATTTGCTGATACAAGTGCTGTTGTTGCTTTTGCTTTGTTTGGAGCATTGTTCCTTCCTCTGCTGCTGACACACCTTAGAATGTAACAATCTGGGTAAAACGGGTGGAAAAGTTCAGTTGAGTGAAGAGTTGAAGATCATTGTGCATCAGTGTGCATCGATCAGCCAGGACAAGTTCAGTGTCCGAAGTTAACATAATAGTTACAACAGCAGTCTATGTCACCCAAAAATAGTGGGTGGGGAGGAGGGGGGCTGCTAAAATAGATTTTTAAGTCAACCATTCTTTTATGATACACCTACTTCCATAAGTATATGAAAAAAAATATAAAATTTCTGCATAATTAAATCATTAAGGCCAGTCAGATTCAGATTTGACTGATGTGAACTGCTCCATTCTAGTGAGTCTGAACTGCTCACAGCAGTGGCGTTAAGAACCAGACGTCTGAAGAGCGTGATGGAGTGTGTACATGCTGTTAAAGTTTTAAAATGTTCTGTTCACTCTCCAGTCCATATACAGAAACTGGAAAAACAGTCTATGTGGAATTCACTGTTTTTGTGATGTTATACATACAACAAAACAACACATTTACATATGTACCCACCTATTCAGCCTACAGCAGTTTAGCTCTGACCATTCAGACTGCAGTTATAAGGAGTGTTTAAGTCTGGACTGCTTCTTGAATGAGGCCCAATACAATAAACCTTCCCTTGCACAAAGCTGTGGACATGTGTAGGTTCACTGGTGGTTTTAGGTAATAAACAAACTGGCTATATTTGTGTTGTAGACATTGTGACCCCTTTTTCCTATTACCACCACACACTTACAACAGATGGTTCTTTAGTTCTACTTAGAACCATTCCATTTACTAAAGAACCCTTAAGGAACCATCTTTTGTAAGTGTGTGGTGGTTTTATTTTTCTTTAGTAAGGGAAATGCTTTTATTCAGAAACCATGAGTTCTGTATAGAACCATGCTTAAATAGTCCTTCAGATTGTACTGGCTCTATATGGAACCTAATAGTTCTATATAGCACCAAAAAGGGTTTTTCTATTGTTAAGATGTCAGGCTTGTGAAACCCTTTTTGGGGCGATACAGAACCATTTTCAAAAAGGTTCCATGTACAACACATTCTCCGTCTATCTGAAGAACCATTTCACCATGCAAAGAACCATTTCAGCAAGATCTGGTTCAATATATAACTCATGGTTTTAAACAGAACCATTCCCTTTATTAAAATCCCCTGAAGAAGCATCTTTTTAAAGTGTGCCCTGTAAAGAAAATCTCAGCTTTCTTCAATGCACCATCTCACACCCAACCACTCTGAAAGACTTTCGTCACATCTCAACGATTAATTGCAGATATTTAGTCGGATTGTTGTTCCCTGGTTATTAGCAGATGCCGTTGTGTGTTAGTTGGGAGTTACTATAAAGGTAGTAGACAGAGTCGGTTATTAACAGGTAAGAGTTTGCAGGTAAAAGCAGGACAAGCAGGACGACGCTCAGCCACAAAACTACACTGGACACACACACACGGCAAGCAACAGCGAAATAAACGTCACTACCAGCAGACCAAAACGGGTGGAATAAAGGTCTCCTAAACTAACTATTCCGTCTCCAAAACAACGCTGTATGTGGTGCGTTTGGTTCAGTTATTTATGCAGTAACGCTGAAATGTTTACTCACCGTAAGTCTTTGTAATTTACGTCAAATGTTTTCTTCATTCGTTTGGGGCAGCTACAGCTCTGTGGTCTACGGTAAGTTGTGCCACCGTGTGGGCGGGAAGATGAACTACAGGCTCTCCGAGAAACTGCGTTTAACTCAATGAGCTTTTACAGTGAACCCAAAGTCTACACTGTTTCAAGCCCAGAGAATCTGGCTAGAAAACACAAGATCAACTTCACTTAACTGTAATTGTATTTATTTATAATGAAATCTTTGCAGTAACAAAACCGTTGGTCAATCTCAGTAATCTCAGTTCTGGTCAGTCTCAGTAATTTTCCACATCACATTCTGATAAAAGGGAAATTACTCAGACTTTTCTAAATTTCTACGTAATTCAGTCACTGAGATGTAATCAGTCATTCAGATTTCTTTCCAGTGGTGGTTCTAGGAACCAGGAGAGGCAATATCTGCAATGTAAATACAGCCCTTTTGTTTACTACCCAAAATAACCATTTAAAGGTGCAGTGTGTAAGATTTAGTGGCAACTAGTGGTGAGGTTGCAGATCGCAACCAACTGAATACCTCTCTCTCTCTATCCCATCACTTTCCAAACGTGTAGTAGGACCTACGTTTGTGCCATCACCTGTCCCGGTTTTGTTTTGTTTCTCTGACGATGATGATTCAGCCTCCTTTGCTTTTTCATGTGCTAAACAATAAGTACGATCCTCGATTTGTCAAAATTTGGGTAAACTTCTCACAACACAGAATGGTTAGCCACTGCGATAGCTCCACTAAATTCAAGCAGCTGCTTCAACGTAAAAATGTGAAAGGCACTCTCTAGAGCCAGTGTTTGGTTTGTCTGTTCTGGGCTACAGCAGCAACATGGCGGCCTCTGGTGGAAGAGGACCTGCTCCCTATGCAGATATGAAGGGCTCATATTAAGTTAATGAAAACACAGCAATTTGTAGTTACAGGTGATTAAACACTGATGTGTATTCAATTTCCGATAATAGATCCTGGTAAATCTTACACACTGCACCTTTAACGTCCACATATTTTAATATATTGATAAGGCCAAAGTAGAAGTAAAACTTTTTTTTTTATCAAACTATATGAAAACAATGTTTCAGGCATCAGGTATCAAAGCCCTAACCATTGTGTGTAATAGTTTCTGTAAGGGAGCTTTTAGAGGCATTAAATTCTTGGGATGTTTGGTTCTTATCACTAACTGTGAAGAATTCAGACTCAGCTAGTTTAATTAAGTACAGTATTTCATAGAGTATTTCACATCAAGCCACTCTGAATGAGTGGTTAATTATTTTATTATTGCAGAAATTTTGAAAACTCGTAATTCCCCTTTGACACATGCTGTGGTACAATATTTTCAAACTTTCACTATTTCGCCACTGGGTGTCGCCAAAGCTACATTGAGCAATCCGGCGCCGTGAACCGCTACTGAAATCCTGCGATCTAATTGGCTGGATGACTCTTTTTTTCCCTTGAATGACTACTCGAATCCTACAGTCTGATTGGCTGGATGAATCCATCCATCCAACCATCTATCATCTAAACCGCTTATCCTTCTAGGTCGCGTTGGGGTGCCGGAGCATATCCCAGCTGTCATTGGGCGGCTGGTTGAATCCTATTATTTTATTTTGGTTGGTTGGACCTTGCAGTAAGATTGACCTCCTGAATTCTCCTGTCTGATTGGCTGGTTACACCCTGTGATTTTTATTGGCTGGGTTGGTTGCATCCTGTAATCTATCTAACTGATGATTCCCTCTCTTGATCTATAGAATTCATTTAGAGCGAAAAGTTTCAAATAAAATAATAAAATCCACAAGCAAAATATTAAGTATAAAATGTCCAAAATATGTTGCAAATACAAATAATGAGAGTTAAACCAATCTTATTTTTTAAAAAGATTGCTACTCATTTTCACCTTTTCTGATATAAATGTATAATTTTTTTAATTAGCTGATTTTGCTGATATATTTTTGCTTCTGAAAATTTTCTTTTGCTTTTGACTATTGGCACTTTTTTAACAGGGGCAGGTCTCAAAAGACGGCATTCACCTGCACTCTCTATTGGACAGCTGATTTTATTTGAAACATCTGGCACAAAATTAGCTCCATACTAACCTCTCATTGACTGAATGCCCTCAGTTTTGTGACAGTGGACTATGAAAAATTTGTGCCCCTGGTTCTTTATCCTTGAAGCTTTGTGTATGCACAATGCTTTAATGCCAATTAAATTAGCCGTTAACCAGTAGCCTAGCCGTTTTTCTGACAAATTGTGCTACCTTGTTGAAACATCCTACTGTAGCGCATATTTATAGGTAGCTTCGTACATAAAACCTCTAGGTAGGATACCTTGCTAGCTTACATCACCTTATGGAAAAAAAAATCCTGCCAGCATTAAAACTATGAAGCTCAAGTCAGATCCTTTATCAGCAGCTTCTCGTTTGAATATTCCCTTTCCTCCCTAAATGATGCAGCACTTATAATTATAACACCTCAGAATGTATCTGCTGCAACATTTAAGGTAAAATGGGAAAATTCAAACAAGAAGCCGGTGACCGTCCTTATCAGAAAATGTTACAAGCAGTAAATGAATAATTAGGATATTTTGAAAGCCTAAATTACCTTATCAGGGGATTAAGTAGAAATATAAAGCTGAGTCTGTACTGAATTAAACACACATATGAGACAAAATGCTTTCAGACATAAAACAACATTCAGCTGCTGTGGGCTTTACATACACTCGCCTTAATCTTGTTAGAGTTAAAAAGCAGTATTGACATCTGTCTATATTTTTCATTTCTGTTTTTACTATTTGGCCCAATAAAAACATTTTAGATGTACCTCAGTTGTTAAATATGTTTTTTATTAAAAATGAAGGGACCTCCAGAACTGAATAAATTCTTTAACAAATTGTGCTTAGTGCTAAATCATTAATGATTAAATTTTCTTTGGGTACTATTTTGCCTTACAACAGCCTGCGTGTACCATTCCTCCATTAACGTATTGTTAGGAAATGTTTTAGGCCAAAATCTTTTTTTAGAACTATCATTAAATAGTGCCTTATGCGTCCAGCAGCATATTCTTAACCATTTCATTTAATATCTTTCCGAGAGGTAGTGTCAAAATTCTTCTGACGTCTGGTTCCTATCACCACCACTATGAGCAATTCTTACATAGCAAAATTTATCACATCCTTAGTTTTGGCCCTGTACTGGTTGGGTCCTTGGCCCAGATTTGGCCCATATACTGTAAAACGAGGAGAACTAATGGAAGTGGCTCTGATGTGGCCCACACACTGTTAAATGAGTACAACTAACGGGTGTGGCCCAGATCTGGCCCATATTCTGTAAAACAAGACAATATAACGGCTGTGGTCCAGATCTGGCCCACACACTGTAAAGTAAGTAGAACTAAGGGATCTGGCCCAGCTCTGGCCCATATACCATAAAGTATGCAAGGTTAATGGCTGTGGTCCAGATCTGGCCCATATGCTTTTAGTATCTAAAAGGTATGGTCCAGATCTGGCTCAAATATGGCACACAGTTACGGCTGAATACCTACCTTGGTCCCTGGCCCAGATGTGGCCCTCATTTACTGCAGAACATGCAAAATATTAGTAATATTTCTTCTTAATATTCAATATGCATCAAAAAACATTTCAGAATAAGAAAACTCCATACTTATTTTGATTAAATTAAATAAAAACAGTAAATAAAGGAAGGAAAAAAGGCTTCATCTTTATAACAGGTCATTGTCTGCAATTTGTGTGTTTATCTTCAAGAACATACGCTGCGTATGGCCACTCCACAGACCACAGCCCTTGAGTCAAAGAGTATGTTTTCCATATTCATGAATAAATTTTTCACAATATTTTTGCATGAATTTTAAACCATGCCAGATAAAGCATTCTTGCACAAAGAGATAAAGGCTAAATCTGACATCTTCGTTGAAGCACTGTTCAGCGGGTTTAAAATGTAATTTTTCCAACATTTTGTTTTATGAAAATGACATAAATGACAAAAATCTTTGAAAAATTATACTTAAGCAGTCAGTGGAATACAAATGGTTATGTGTATGTCCCTAAAGTATAGCCGTCAACCCATTCAGTGTGCCTTTATAAAATCCATACACACATGCGATCAAGCCAACTGTGTATGAAAGAGACTATTTCTTTTATTACTGTTTAACTGTATCGTCTCGGAAGTGTGCAAATACTGCCGTAAAATGCTGCCTACTAAGACAGCTGCCTCCCGATTGGAACACATCACATAAATAATATATGTTAAACTGCTGTTTTGCACAGCCCAAATAAAAAAAATTTCTTAATGACAATCACACATATTCATTTTGCTCAAAAATACAAAACTGATCAAATTCAGGACTGTGTGTTTTCTTGTGATAATATGGGCCTATAGATACATGTCTGGTTATTGGTTAAGCCCCCCACACCCCCCCATTAGGGAATTTTAATGTTATATCTGTAGATACAGTAAGTCTGCAACTGAAGCATAATAGGAGCTCCTGATAATCCTACTCCAACTCATCCCAAAGGTATTGGATGGAGCTCCATCACTTCAGAGAATGCAGATCCACTGCTCCACAGCCCAGTGCGGAAGACTTTATAAGGAGGTAATGCCATTGCAGTACAATGCAGTGAAAGTCACTGTGGACAAGGAGATCATAATGAAGACTGCAAAGACATCTCCCCTGCCCTCAGCATACTGTACAGCAACTACTTTGTCTTTGGGGTGGAGTACCCTAAGGGACTTTAAAAAAAAAACTTATGTTTCTAGAAGTATTTGTATTTGAAATAAAGGAGGAGCGATTCCTTCCAATTACACTGAATCGAGTATTCCATTGTCTACGTGAGTAGAATTTAATGTTTTATATCATCTGGTATTACTTAAATGTATATGTTGTTCAAATATTTACTTGTGGTGCTGTTAAGGATGAAGGAGTTCTCACAGTTGAACATGCTGTTTAATTTTATGTATGTGATAGTGAGGTTTTGTAACTTTTAGTGTAACATCCAATGTAGTTCATTTTTTCCTGTATTTTTGTGTCATACATATTTTTATCT